CAATGAATCACAAGCAGAATGATTTGTTTGTGATTTTACTATGAACGGAGGACATAAGATCAAAACTGTATTGATTTACGTATAATTTACGATCTACTTAGCAAGAAGTCATGATTTTCGGGTCTTTTACAGTGCCATTTTCACACAACATAAAAAGGATTTTTACTACCAATTAACAACGCGTAGACCACTAATTATGAGTATTTACCAAGATTATTATATCAAACAGAGGTCATTCATTTTGAAATGTTACTCAAATAAACAAAGTCGTTTACTTGATTCTTAATCGTTTATCACACAGTTTTAAAACATTTAAAATATTATTTTACATTCACGTTTGAAATGTTTGGAAGTACTGGTTGTTTTGAATATGAAGACAAAAACATTACTAAATGACTCCTTAGAAATATCTATTGAAATATATTACATCAAGAATCATTTCAACTTAATATTTAATCAGCTTTAATTTACTTTCGGTTCAGTGGAATTATTTTTATTCTATAAAACTTTAATATTATTATTCTCCTTCATTTGTGCACTGTTGAATTTACAATCAAGTTAGTAGATAAACAAACTGATAACAACTGAGAATGTTTCAATAAGTGATATTCATAACATTGATATTCCTATAATACATTTTAATAATGACTCATTCAACTATAACCGAAACTGATTAATCATATTAATGTTTTCAAGTAAACATAAAAAAGGAAGTTGCAATTATGTTCATATTTTTAACCATAAAAAATAAACAGAATAATTGAGGTGTGACCCATAAGCAACTGTATTAATTTAAAAAAGAATACCAAAATGGAAACTTGGATATGGGAAAGAAATTTTTGGTGTTAAAAAGAATTTCAAATGATTGTTCCTTATTTATAGACAGATATGGGCTTACATTTTTTTAGAAAAAATAAGAAATTGTGACACAGTCAGTTAAACAACTCTATATCGGAGATTGGACTTTAAAGGGGACACAGCGGGTGATATTCTAACACATAGACTCAAAAGATCTGTTGAAAGGACGTTTCACACCGCCAAGTTACACATAATTTTCTCAATTAAACCAGTACTCACACAACTAATCAAGGATAGGTTGCCGAAGATATACGAATTCAACTGCTCCTGTGGAGCTAGTTACATAGGCCGTACTCAGGGGGCATTATCTCTGCGTGTTCGTGAAAATGTACCAGCATGGTTGGGAAAAGGAGTCATTAAATCGATCAACAGCACTATACTTTCACACTTGGTAGATAATGTACATTATATCAAAATAGAAGAAGCTTTCTCTGTTTTATATTAAGTTCCGAAATATCTACCTGCATCAACTAGATTACCGTTACTGTACGTAGCCAAAGTCATCTGGATCAACTCCAGAAAACCAAACTTTTGTATCCAGAAAACGTATGTCCAGGCTCTATGTAACTTTGGCATACGACTGGATCACCGAATACCTAGACTGAATATTATAAACTTCTTACCCCCTTCCTTTTTTTCCCTATTATCACTATTTTTTGATTACCTCTATCTTAATCTTCACATTCATCATTCCCAATTACCTTGATAACACCCCTCTTGTTACGTGTTATATTCACACAATATTATTATTATTATCTCAATCGACAAGATGAAATTCCCCTACTATGCATTAATTCACATAGTATTTTTTTGCATTTTGATTTTTGCTATCATGCTAATCTACTGATTATGACTGGACCCTTTACTCCAAATCATTCTGACCTTTATTAAATGACCTTTCTAATTTGCAAATAACACAATTTTGAAGTATATATGTCGTAACAGATGTAAACGTTTACCATTTTTTTAGCATATAACATTGACTCATGATCTCAACTGCTAAAATTACTACAATCTCTACAAAACCCCTTCAGATGGATATAACATGGTCAATCTCATTAATACATGCCTTATTTTGGCCTTTGTAAAGTATCGTAATTATGGACTTATAACTGTAGAGCCTGATGATGAAGTTATTGAAAGCAATTGTTCGCTTAAATATTCTTCATTTTTAAGTATCCTATGGGGATTCTTAAACTGCAAAAATGTATACAATTGAGGATAGTGGATGTTTGATGAAATTAGGCATTGATTAGCGAAATCAGTGAAATTTTATAGCACATTATTTTTTTTGTTTCCACTTTTCAATAGCAAAGATATCGAAGAAATATTGAAATATATTTATCAAATAGTAATCGATACATTTCAAGAACTAATTGAAAAGGTTTCTGATTAATTCTTTTAACCATCTAATATTCTAGATAAGGTTCTGTTGGACCTCTATTAACTTTTTTTAATTGTATGTATTAAGACATACTTTCGATTCTAACACTAATACAATAAAGAAGACATACTAATCACTGGAGTTTGTTAAATACTAATTAATATCAGGATTATATATATATATATATATATATATATATATATATATATATATATATATATATATATATATACTTCTTATATGCTAACCCAAAATATCTACTTGGGTAAGAAAACTAAAAGATAATAAGAAGCTCAAATTGGCTAACCGAATCGGCAAGATATAAACAGAAAGTTGGATCAAACTTTTACCGGTAAATTAAGCACGTTAACATCTGACACTTATCGACTAGCTTGTCTCTGATTGACCATTTATATAAGAAATAAGCTTTCTTTATGGTTGTATCCTACTTGACACATTCATTTTGATGACTGGAGTAATAATTTATCAATTTCTTTAGGTATCCATTATCAATTTAAGACATTTCAATATTAGTATATTCTTCTCTTAGTCTTTTATTTATTCAAAATCTACGAGGATAACCGAATATATACTTTAATACTCCTCATCTAATACATAGCTATCCGATAAATCCAAGTGAGCTACCTATAGAGGTGACTCAAGATTCACCACTTCATTTTTAAACCAAATACTAACAACATAATATCAGTAGCATCAGCCTGTCTTAATACTATGATCTGAAAACCATTAGAATCAAGAAAATTATTATTTAAAACTGTTGGCAGTTTTGGTTATTTGGCCAGACATGTAAGACAAGGTGTTTATACCTTGATAAGTGTCTTGTCTTACATCTTGAAAGTCCACTAAGAAAAGTAACTCCACATTGATTAATATAATTGAATATCAGTGGTGTTCGATGTAAGGTTATCACAGACATAACAGAAAATGGGAATATTAATCAAAACTAGCATTTATCTAGTACATTTTTATTTTAGTAACTAATTGAACATGGTCTAAAATTTATTACATATTGTTAATTTTTCATCCTGAGATTTTAATTTATAACCTGAGGATAGACCTACATTTTTAACATCTATTGTATAACAAACAAAATGGCCAATTGTCTGTATACTTTTTATTCTCAATAATTCTTTAATGTTTTATTCAGGATTTCTGCAGGAATTTTACCTTGGTTTGCATAATTTGTCAGTAATCTACATATTACATGTAATAATGTAACTAAGTTATAAGAATTATTTATTCAGATTTATGTTAACAATTAGCTTTTACCAAAAGGGAAGTGAATAAACAAACAGTTTAAAAACCTGCATATTATGAAAAAATATGAATAACATATTTCTAAATGAAATCAAAGTTTTATATTATTTACAGAATATTTTGATAGGAGAAATAACAACACAATAGAAACTTGTTACCAACGAAATAAAAAATAACGGCAACTCCCATCTATAAGCAGAGATAGATGATGGCTAACAGTGAAATTCATGATGCAATATTCGTCCTATTTTGGATTGGCCAGCTACGTCTACCTACATTTCACAGTTCATGCACATGTGTCAATAAATGACTGATCATTTTCAGTCCTAGAAATCACTGAGCACATTCAAATAACCAATACAAAAATGAATTAAGTTTCACCACATTGCACAAACTAGTGGCTATCAGGACTCAGTAACTAAGTGGATAACGTGATGTTGTTTGAAGCGAACGGTACTGCATTTGAGTTCTGAAGTGAAAATCAACTGTAGGATGCATACACATGCAGCTGACGAGTTCAGAACAGGATGAAACACGCATCTTTGATTCCCTGATAATTAATATCCTTCTGTTATTATAATTCTTGTGATTTAAGACAATATCAAGGTAATCTACATAGGATGCACATTTGTTAATGAGAGACTGATCAATTGCAGTCCTAAAGGTCAGTGGGAAGATTCAAACAACCAATAAAAAATACTCCCATCTATTTCACTGATCTTTAAAGGCTTAACATTCCATACAAGTATAATTTAATATCTACTATTTATTTTACAGTTATTAAGCGAAACTTTAAAACTATTCCCAACAGCATGATTGTATATCTCACAAACAATATACCATTATTACATACGTTTATTACCCAAATTAAAATCCTTCAAAATAAATCTCGGAGATAAGTTTACTTCACAATGTTACCAAATTGTGAATAACTTCTAATGAATCACAGAAAACGCTTAGTAATATCTGATTTAGAACAATAACTGATAAACAACATGAAAAAGAAATATGCACATAAGTCAACAAAACTTTTAAGTATAACTTAACAATTCTCCATTCAATTAGATTCATAAATATTTGAAATTTAATAAAATAAAAATATTATTTGTATATGAATAGTTAACAAATTTGTAGTTATTCAAGACTAAATTGATTTCACCTGTATTCAACAGCTTATTTCATTTTGAATGATAGTAATGTAATGAACAGTGCGCGTTTTGTTTTATTAATGACGAAGCGACTGAGTGTACCCCATCCTCATTAATGCTGTTTGCATTTGTCCACACCTAACAGACGAGTTCAAATATCTTTATTTTAATCAAAGTACATAGGGGTAATTTTAATTACACATCCTTGGGATTCATCTCTATTTCTAAGGTAATTAATTTCAAAAAAATTGGTCAGTCTAGAATCAATGCTGTTTGTGAACTTTATTTGTTTTGAGTGGCAAATCGATAACAATAAGACAAATAACACTTACCTTGATAGCTTCATAATTGCCTTTCTCTGAAGCACGATGGATCGGTGTCATACTATCTGATGCCCGATAATCTAAGTGTGCTCCGCCAGCCACTAAAGCCATAACCATTTCATATGGTTTTTCCAATTGTACAGCCATGGTGAGTGGAGTTTCTATTTGGAAAATTCAAGAACGAAAACGGATTAACATGTACTACAAAGTAAAATACGGGCAAATTAAAGTAATTTGTATAGTAAACATTGAACGTAATATTTTTTTCTAACAGAATAAACGACCACTTTATCCGATTATAGTATTGCAAATACTTCTGATTTATATGTCTGTGAAATCATTTAAAAACATCTAGTAAAGTAAATAAATCTTTGTTGACAATGAGAATAACGATATTTTTTCAGAAATTAGTTCACTTGTACACTATTAACTAATTTATCTTATCAATTAAAACTTATATATTAAACCAATGTCCTATGCGAATAGTGAGCACACTTTGTAATTAAATTTATACTTGAGTAACAAGTAAATGTTTAAGTACCCTAAAAGCGAACCGTGTATATCACGGAGCAGATAAAACTAGACTTTGATATGTATAACGAAACCAACTCTTAATCTAACATGACTGACTGGTTAAACATACAAGCATTTTATCCACCAACACAACTCTCTTACACAGTCAATGATCTCATAAACCGGATATCACTAACGTTTTTCTGATAAGCCTGTGGTAATCAACACAAAACAAGCATGAAAAACTTCATTTGATGAAGTATTGCAATGCTACCAGTTGACTTATTATTTCCACCTAATAACCTACGTCTAGCCTATTATTGATAGCACCATAGTTCAACTGTATTAGAACAATCTTTAAAAGGTGTGTGTTTAGATGCGCAGAAATTTCTGCATTAGTTTTACTCAGATGTCAGAGGCATTTTGAAATTTTGTTAGTTGAATTCATGAGTCGAACAAACTAGACCACCGTTGGAAACCTGTATGTACTGAGCAGTTGTCTCGTCCTAGTATGGGACTCCTCAGCGGTGCACATCCACGATCTCGCACTCGGGACTCGAGGCCAGAATCTTCGGTCTCGCGCGCGTACATTTAGTTCAGTATTTCATCCTGATTAGTATGTAAGTGAGACCAAAAGATGCATGCGGACAAAATCGCTCTTAATTAGATCTTCATCAACACTTACTCTAATAAACATTAATATTATATGTATATATAAACAATATTAAATCAATGAAGACAGCTTATGAGTCATTTAAACCATGTTAAAGGACTACATAACTAATCATCATAAGTAAAAGTACGAATCGATAGCTAGGTGGAACGTATTTTGGTAACTATGAAAGTAATGAACACCTTAATAACATGAGCAAATTAACTGACATAAAAAGTTGGCGAATACACAAAATACCAACTTACTAAAGTAATGAACTTCAAAAACTACGTTACAACAAGTGTGTTTAAATAATTAAGTGAAGAGGAGATAAGAAAGGGATAAAAAAACAAGTGTGAAGAACTGATAGAACTATTTGTTAAGTCCTATCAGTTCAGTGATGGTGATAGAGGTGTTACGCGTTCCTTATGAACAGAGACTACAGTTGGTAGTTCGTTTCCTAATAAATTCTGACATGTGTAAGAGACGGGATATAACGCAATTAGGAATATTTAAACATACGCAATAAACCACTCCAAATTTTTTTTCTAGTTACTACATGTCTGCTGTCGGCCGAGTGTAATAAAATGGACATGAGTATTGAATTTATCAAACCCTATGAAACCGTGAAGGGAGGTACTCGCTAGCTCATCGGCTAAGTCACCTGATCATACACTAGATAAAGCTTTCGCAAATACAAATAATATCGCATATTATAGTTAAGACGCAGACAAGAATCTATAATTAAGCTTCTCATCCATAAAAGTCTCTTAAGTTAATTGGAAAATATAGTAATTTCAGATTTATTATACTAATTATTTAAAAGCATTAGATTTTTCTCTAACAACAGCATAGCTTTATTTTAGACACGGTTACCATTTTACGTGGAAGAAAGCTGATTTTATTAATCAGGTTTTTTAAAGGGAAACTGACTGTTATGGCTAGGTAGTAAACAGACTTGAATATATATATATATATATATATATATATATATATATATATATATATATATACGTTTTATTCAATGTAGACAAAGTACCAAATTAACTAAACAGGAAATACTGCAAGGGTTTGATATCATTATCAACGACTCTACTTCCTTTCTCTAATACACTTTTGTCTCTTAAATTTGCTTTTGTACTTGAAAAAATATCATTCAAGTATACAAACCAAGTAGTTATGGGAATTAATGACTTATTGAAATCTATGAATATTTTATAGATGGAAAGGAATTTTTGTCAACCTTTATACACATACGAAAGTACATTAAGATAAATAATAGTTATCTCATAGTGTATATATTAGTATTAAATTACTGCAAATCTTTTCGGTAGATCTCGATTCATTGATGTTTACTACAGAGATTAATGAAAATAAAAGTTTGCTAAAACAATTACCGCCGAAACATTCTATTAGATAGCATATCATTACCTTTAAAATTTACGATAGCATCTATTTTGATGAACTCAAGAAATTTAAATTCATAAATAAGGAAGTCACGGCTAATGTAAAAGGTTTCAGGATGTCACTTTGATTTCATTTAAAATCCAAAATGTTCAAGTCATAGTATGGAATTCGCTTTGGCCAATGTTAAAGTTTAAAACGTCAACTAAGAAGGTTAACTGTATATACTCCTGAGAAAACTAAGTATTTTAATATCAGAAGTGGCTGCAATCTGACGAATTTTAAAAATCGATAACAAAATAACTTCGCTAAAACCATTTGTTCAGGAAAAGCGTCTTGTTGAACCAAGTTTAAATAAAGTTCAACCGTTGTAGATGAGTTTATTAGTCCTAAATGAATTACTTTAGAATAATACAAACCTTATTTACGTTAATCGTTCTATTGTTTAAAAGTCCCATCACTAATTATTTTCGACAACTTAATTATAGCCCATCATTCATCTAAAATGACAGATGACTGAAAAAGATTTTAGTGAAATAGTATCCTATATTATTATGGTTTACCAATAATAATTCTGAAATAATTGACTTGATTTTTTAAGAGTGGATACAAACAGTAACTACAATGATGTACAAGTTGAGTTTCTACACACGTTTTTCACTAGAATATTTAAGCCTCAGCACATTTTCCTTGATCGATCAGATATTCATTTTGGCGTTAACAGTTCATTTACTGACACTTTCGTATAGACAATAACACAAGCTCTTAGTCAAAAACTCTTGCCCAAATTAAAAGAACAACAGTCAAAGAGATTATGTTTTATTATCGTGAAGAGGTATAATTGATGTTATACAACCGTATAGAAATCAGTCTGATGTCATAACAATTTATTATCAGTGACAATGATGTTTTGTAAAACATTGGTTAGTTAACATGAATAAACATTCAAATGGTTTATCCACTTCGGATATGATTACTAAATCGTATTTAGATTAATATCCATTATAATATGAATATATGGGTGGTGCAATATACGTCACTGTACAATTCTGTTCATGTTAGAGTGGGAATATATATATATATATATATATATATATATATATATATAGGAAACAATGGTTCAATTAAGTTGTACTTTATGGATGACTTTCAGTTATGTTGGACGAATTTATGAAAAAAAAATAAACAAATAAAATGTGAGAACAAGGGTGGAGGGACAATTCATACGGAAAATTATACTGCCTCACTAAATAATTAGTCCAACATTATACACAACTATGTACAACGTTTAAACATTCAATTTAATCATAATAAAACAAAGCTGTTTATGATTTCATCTGAATGAATAATAATTTGTTCAATGAAACTAATATTTCACATAACTGTCTATCGTTCAATTGGTACAAACACTAGGGTCACCAATACAATTTGCCGAGAGTTTTAATATCAAGATGTTACTTATAGCATATCAAAAAGTCACTGATTTGGCAATTTATTTTTGCTACACAAAATAGTTTTTTTCGTTATGAATTGTGATTAATCGAATTAAATCATTTTTCGAAAATTTAGAGCAACCTGTAGATGGATGGCTGTTTCATAATAAACAAATTGAGCTAATAGAACTGATTTAAAATGATAGTGACAAAAATGCAGAGAAATGAAAATTTTTTTGCTATGAAGCAGTATTCTATCAATGCTATTGTATTATGAAACATATTTCTATGCTAGACGCTTTTTAACATCACTACAGGCTTTTTTAATAAGAACAGAACAGATAGGTACTAAGGTACAAAAAAATATGCGACAACTAACTTTCATCACGGGCTTCTAACAGCCAAAATGTGACTAGAATTGGGGACCTTTATTTGCTTTGATGGAAAATAAATGGATTCTTGTAGCGATTACAACACGGTTAACATAAATGAAACAAGATTTTACGAATCACACTAGACCGAAAAATATAAGAAAATAGTTTATAAAGAGGCTCTTCCTAAATCCTAATAACAGAGTCAGTTTTATTATAACAGAGATTAGTGATTAACCATTAATTAAAATTAAAGTGGTGTGGTGTTTGAATGAATTAGTGATTCCTTTGTACTTGTTGAGTGCTCGAATTCGAATCCGAAATACTGTACATCCGTTCGTGCCTATCTATTGCTTCTTGATCCAATTGCGTTATTTCTGGGATTCTTAGTTCGTACTGTAATTCAAATATTCCTAATTACCACAAGTGGTTAACTAATTCCTTACGTTATGTAAAAAGAGAAAATGATATCTCCCGTGCTAATAAAACAGAACATAATCACCGGTATTTGGAAAAATGAAATGCAGAAAAGGTTTCCGTGTTTCTGGTTCTATAATACTAGTTACTATAATTCTGTTTGATTATGTCTGTTTTGTAACAATCTGTAAAAATGAATGATTCGCATTTTACAGTATTTCAATTAATACGTGAGAGTCCTAACTCTTATAGCGTTCATAATAATATGTATCACTGACTCAAACGTTACCTCAAGCTACCAAAATGTTGGTATTTTGATGGATTGACAGATTCTAAGCAACTAAACTCGAAGACACTAGTAAATAAACCACCAACCAATGACTGGGTGATTATACCCCATTATGAAAATATCATAGGTAACCATCAGTGAAGTAATCTATTTATCGTTTTAATGGTTAAACTCATTTTGGACTTTCTTACTACTGAGTGACTTCAGTTTAACAAGATTCTATGTAATTATAGGCAGAGATGGATAGTGGTTATCAGTGGACGCGTGTTTCATCCTGTTCTGAACTCGTTAGCTGCATGTGTATGCATCCTACAGTTGATTTTCACTCCAGAACTCAAATCCAGTACCGTTCGCTTCAAACAACATCACGTTATCCACTTAGTTACTGAGTCCCGATAGCCACTAGTTTGTGCAATGTGGTGAAACTTAATTCATTTTTGTATTGGTTATTTGAATGTGCTCAGTGATTTCTAGGACTGAAAATGATCAGTCATTTATTGACACATGTGCATGAACTGTGAAATGTAGGTAGACGTAGCTGGCCAATCCAAAATAGGACGAATATTGCATCATGAATTTCACTGTTAGCCACCATCTGTCTCTTCTTTTATCATTTTTGACTTAAGATAATGTAAAGGTGATCCGCACAGAATACATATATGCCAATAAGCGACTGATCAGTTGCCGTCCTAAACATCTATGGGAAGATTCAAACAACCCATGCAAAAATGAATTAATTCTATGTAATTTTTCTGTTTGGTGGTAACTAATGGATACATATTTTATAATTAATTTATTAATTTGTCGTTTACAACGAGCCCATTCTCAAAGCTATACAGTCGTATATACATGTATTAATTTATTGGTTATATTTATACGATATATATGCTCATATACATAAACTGATAGATAAATACCAAATAGGTTTATTTAGTGGTAAAAAATATGGACAAGAATATATCAATTTATCTTTTTGTCACAATGCGTTTATTCAGTTACTTGCTTAGTTATTTAATAAAAACAATCATAATAATGTATTCACTTACCTCCGTTTGGTTTCCATTGGAAATTTGGGTCCAGTCCTTTATTCAACCATTTATTAACTTTATCTACATCACCCACCTTGACATATTCAATAAACTGACGAAAATTTGCCTTAGAATATGCAATTGGCAGAAATAAATTATAAGGGAAAACGATTAAAATAAATTACTTACACTAAGGTAAACATAACGAGAAGGGTGAATAAGTGAACAAGCTGAAACCAGTTGGAGAAATATTGAAGATTTCACGAAAACTGATATAATAAGGGATGATCATAAACTCACTAATGAATAGCTTTGAAGCAAGTTTCCTGAAGTTTCTGTGTAAACTGTGGGTCAGCAAAGTCGAAATTAAGATGGGGGATCGATGATAACGTTAAATAAGCAACTGATTTATAAAATGGTTCAGCTAAAGTTGGAAAACATAAATCAACAGATATAACCATTTCGGTTCATATTTGTTGTGTTCACGGTGGGAATTATGGGTCGTTTTCACTTCAATTGTAAATAAAATCCAGATCAAATGCTCATTGATGAAGTAGTCAAACCTACATTTGAGACAATTTTTAGATAATTGATGACAGTAACTTACAATTTCTAATAAACCAAATGATTGAGTTACTACAACAACGTTAGTGATACGTGAATTCGCTCAATGAACATACTAGTTTACTCGGTCATTTGCTTTCTGTTATTTCTGCTTAATTCAATGAAGAATCCCAGTATTATGGACTATAATATTGAGTGATTAAAACGATTAATCTAACACATTGCTCACCGCTATCATTATTACGAAACTATCTAACAGTTCTGAAATCCAACTACAAGGTTTCGGACCTATGATAGACGATAACATTGAGCTACTATGATAAATTTTATTTATTCAGGTAATTGACTCAGTTCGACTAAAATATAAGTAATTCAAGAAGATGTCAGATGAATGTCACTATTCTAAAATTCTCAGTTTTTATGTGATCCCAAGTACCTTCGGTTAGCAACATTCTCAAAATTTAGAATGTCCAATTAAAACATGTTAGATACATGGGGTGTTTCCACTAAAGTCGATAATCAATTTTGAAATAACAGTACTAGGTGCCTTAAAAAATAATGAGTAAATTTATTTGTTTATTTAAAACAGAAAATCTTGTACAACTAAGCACTGAAAATATTATGCACTACGAGCGTCGGTAATTGATGGACGATATCAAAGTTACTGAAATGATGGGCCCAAAACGCGAACAAGTCACCTGAGTCAATGTTTAAAAACAATGAAGACACAGCTAACTATTAGAAAGCCATTCAGGCGTACAAACTTTTCAAGTGCTTCTAACAGATCACTACAAAGAATGAGTGCAGGCTTGTGACTCTATCAGTGCGGTAGTAGCGATTTGCTTTTAATAAGTGAAAAACAAATGTCATACTAACGGGCACCGATTCCTGGCTGAATAAGTATAATTTGGATAGCATGTGTATAATCTTAAAGCAAAACAACATCAGCGCTATACTTAAGGTCAAAAAATCTTTCCAAGATACAAATCCACATCCTCAATATATACTACCTTCAAAGCTTTTTCCAGAATGTTAACCTTGGAGAAGAATTGTGTGCTTAGATAACTCTGTTTAACACCACTACTAGATTTGGATAACAGAGAGAGGCGATTTTAAGCCTTCACCTTACCTGAAATGTATATATATAGGGTTTTCAAGGTGTTAATAAGATTCCTAAGCACACTGTTCTTTAACAGATAATCCTAGAGAACAGTTCTGTCCAACAAAACGAAGGATCGCCTTTTATCAAGTTACACAACAATTGATGGCCTGCAATACATGAGGCAGTACTCTTACGTTTGAAAGTAGGGTAAAATGTGACTGATATATCCACAAACTGGTAAAAAACCAGACCACTTGTTATGAATCACTCTATCATCGGTTTTGTCAATCTGTGAAATATGACGGAAGCAATACTTCGGATCTAATCTAAAGCAGACTTATTCTCCGATGGCTGATCCATGAATTACGTAAGTTCTTTCTGAAGATGGAGATGACAACAACTTGATCCTTTGATATTTAAGCGCTCTCTATTTCCAATCCTTTTATCAAACAACTCAGTCAGTTGCACTATCAGAAGTCACACATATCCTAAAATATAGCAAGGAATACTTCGCCAGGGCTCTGTGACTTATGGCGCCACAGAATTTGAGAATTCTTGGGGGACTCTTGTTCATTAGGCGGATAGGCAGTTACAGACTAAACAAGCCAAGACAGTCGAGACATCACTGTTCCTTGGTCATCATCAAAGAGAATATTAGGTGTTATTAATTGAAGTTTCATCAAATTCACAGACACGAGTCCTCTTACTGCTAATGACTTGTATGTGTTGAACTACCCTATAACTGGTTAACAAGTGTCCTCTGTCTCTATGTCTACTTCATGAAATTTCGTTACATAAGGACCAGTGTGCATCATCAAACCCATGGACCACCGAAGCAGACCTTAGGAGTTTTTAGATAGAAAAAATGTATTATATCATATAAAATCAAACAAATAGTTCATAAAATTTGTGGTCCGATGATATTTTTTAATCAGCATCGCTCTATTTTAAACATTTCTGACTGATAAATAATAATTAATTTTTATCTTTATTTTATAATTACCTCTTCTCCATTATTCAAGATGATACTCGAAGTTTTTGAGAACTAATAGAGTTCTTAGCGATAATCACAATTTAATTAACATTTATATGTCCTAAGTTTAAGTGAAGTAGTTGACAAAATAAACGTTATGTCTAAAGTAAAAAAAGTAATATTGTTCATTCATTTATTGGATCAGAAGATGTTCATTGTGGAAACCAAGGTAGTTAACCAAACATCTATTAGTCTTTGACCAGTCGTTTTAGATAAAGGTATCTGACTTATTTGAAAGACCGTTGAGATCTCTGAATTAGCACTAAACTATTACTGAGTGGATGTGTCAAATCTTATCATTTGATGCATTATCCAGTTCTCGTCACTACGTGGCTTGTCACTTTATGTTTTATTTACTAAAACCAATATTAGAGATCTATCATGTTACTCAATATCAAATTTCATCTAAATAGAGAGACAGATCTTGAAGGCTTTATTGGTCTGCACGTTGGCCCACTGCTAAATTATCATACACATAGTTCCCTTTATTGTCTTAAATAGAGCAAGAGAAAAGAATTCATGTTATTCTGCACCAATCTTTGTTCTTGCTCTATTTAAGCTAAATTATCAATTGAGTTTTCAGATAACGCTAACTCTTACTATTAAATAATAGTCTTCATCAGCAAGGCTTATTTTTAATAACTGAATATTAGTTGACTCTAGGATTGAGGGTTGCATAATTCAGCATATACTTTAATCGACTTGTAATATTTTGCACTGAATATTTTGTAACTAGTTTTGATGAGGAAGTCGTTTCCGCATATCTGTTTTGCGAACTTTGTTCAAGTTCAACTGTTTTACAATTTCATATTTTAACTTTTAAGCGAATTCCCTAGATAAATCGGTACGCCCCTCCAAAAGAGAGATGGTATAGTTTATTGATCAGATTGTGTTACATGAATTCATTTCCATATCTAACCTAATACTAAGTTTCATGATCGTAATCAGACATGAGAAATTATATGCCAACAGGTTAATTATTACCTCTTAGTACAACTACGATTTCCCAAATTCTAAATCCTTAGAATGAAAGCAATTTGATTTGAAAACGATAAGTTCATAATTTATTTATTTTTCATGTAGTTATTTCCCTCCGTATACGTTGTGGGGCAAGAGTAACAAACATTGAGAGATGAAGTAAATTCATTTCGTATACCATATTTATTGCCAATAAGTATTAATTCGTATGAATAAATGATATGTTTTGCAAATGCAGTTTTGTGATCGAAATCCAAAACGTCATTTAGTTCACTAGTGAAAAATAATTATAATTACTTCCCATATTCATACAAGTCAAATTTATAGACGGATGGAATAAGCAAGAGAAAGACCATGATGTATCCAATACAAGAAAGATTTCCCAATTGTTATGATTATCGTAGGCAAAATGACACGATTGACAGTAATTAACAAAAAACAATGATAGAGTTATCATAACAATTGTGAAAATAGTGAGAATAGTTGAAGGCTGTATGAGAAAACGCAATTACTAAGATGGCAAAAATAATAAGTCAAGGTTTAACAGTAGACAGATACACAAATTGGTTTTTTCACCTCAATAACTACTTTATTCTGATAATTTTATTTTTCGTATGATTTCAATTTGCAGAATATATAATGTGAGAAATTTTAGGAGTAAGGAGTGTGATGACTAAATTTCTAACATTAAGTGTTTAGCTCGTGAGATTACTATTTAGCTTTGCTACAAAATGTACACAGCATCTTTTACACCTCTAATTATCAGATATTCCTCTTTCCTGAATCTATCAAGTCAAAAAATCTTCCAGAGATACGAACTGACTTCACCTAAGAATGTTTCCAGAATGTTTAGAATAGCTAAAACATTTTGAACACGTGGTTAAAAGTTTATTCGTGATTATAAATCATGATAGTGAAAAGCATTCAATTTGTCTGAAGAGATCTAATTTAAGTAAATTCAGCCTGTGTTTAGAAAATAAAACTTAAAGCCAAACTTTAAAACAGTTAATGGCTTTTTTAAAGATTATGAAATTTTATAAATCAACGAACAAACAATTCGTAAGGAACCTGAGACATCACTGTTACTGCCTTATGTGTTTATGTTGCCTTAATTGATATGCAGTTGAGCAAAAAATAATATCACGATTTGTTGTGACATTATAGATATTTGAATGATGTAAATGCTCATTATTAGGCGTATTATTCAGGGGGAAAATGGACATATTAGACATACGCTAATAGTTGCATTTAATATGTCGGTTTGTATGGCTAACACTTCTACTTAGAAGTGATTAACTAAAAGATACTCCTTTAAGATTAACTATTCCAGATAGTTACGTCATAATATTTACAAGATGCATAAGATTATATCGTAATTTTTTTTATTTTTGAAGAAAAAGTAAGTACTTTGAAGATAATCATTGTTGACAAGCACTAACTACGTTTTAAA